ATACTAGTTGGTTTATTGAATATATTAGCAAATGGCATCGGCTTACAAATCAATCATGTGGTTCAGGCTATAAAAGTACAAATTACTATAAGTAGGGTGAAAAAATTTCACAGAAAATGGTATGATTAGCAAGGGCAAGGAATAACCCACAATTGCAAATACATCAGGGATAACCCCCCGTATTTGTATGGAGTAATAACTTACTGCAAACTAATTTAAGTCAGGAAACCTGGAACTGAGTCATATTTGAAGACAATGTCTGTATTGCCACTGAAACATTTATTAATATTATAAAAACCAACATAAAAAATGTAAAAACATAAAAACAAGAAAGAAAACGATCGCCGTGGATCACATAAGGCATTTGTCAATCGTCAAAAATAAAAAGTTAAACTTTACAAAAATAATTAAAAAACAATACTATAGACAACATAAATGAATATAGACGGTATATAAACCATTTAAGGGATTGAATTAGAATTGCTAAATCAAATTAATATAGAAATTTTATAGAAAAAAACTGATCGTAACCCTTCAAAGCTGTGGAAAACTATAATGTTATGCACCAAAGTCACAAATCTAACAAATCTTTTCTGACATTGGCGGTAATTTAACAAGAAAAATAAAACCCACTAATTAAAAAACAATTCCAAATTCTTTTTTTCTACCCGATACAAATGAGAAAGAAATTTCAGAAACTATTAATTCCTTCAAAAATAACAAAGCTCCAGGCATTGATGATATCCGCGCTGAAGTAATAAAAGTAAAGGGGCTATGTTCATTCGGGGCCATTCCTTATGTAAATTAACATGGGAATTCGCTAAGGTTCATTCTGGCAATTTTTGTCTAAATCAAGGTCACACCATCTCAACTAACTCGTCGAGCCACCAACGGGGAAGTGTAAGGAGTGGGGGGATTAAATATATTTTAACGTCGAATAGAATTTTTGCGTAGAACGAAAAGCCAGAAGGGCCTTAGCATATATCTCAGCTATCGTTGGTCTGATTTAAACGGGAAAAACGGCATTATGAAGAGAACGGGGTATAGATTAAAGCTGAAGATAAAAATAATGTGCAAAGCCAGAAGGGCCTTAGCGTGTAACTTCACGGCTGTTGGTCCGATTCAAACGAGAAAAAAACTGCATTACGTAGAGAACGTGGTATAGATTAACGTACAAGAGAAAAATCATGCGCAGAACGAGCTGACCCCTTTCATCCCCGCGAACCACCCCCTCATTGAAAAATCGATCAATCATAGTGTGTGATACCTCGTTGGAAAGGTCTTAACGTACAGAGTAAGGGAAAAATAATGCAAAAATGTCAACTGCCCCCTTTCATCCCCACGAACCACCCCCTCATTGAAAAATCGATCAATCATAGGATCTTGGACACCAATGCTTTTTAAATGGAAAACGTGTAGTTTACTCTGGACAGTAGAGTGCAGGTGTGGACATTTAAGTAAAGAGTGGACAAATATTGCTAATAATTTAAATGGGGGAAAGTTATTTGTAATAGGGTAAAGTCAACATTGGACAATGAAAATAAAATAAAATATATTTTGTTTTAAAATTATATTTTTAAAGAAACAGTATTAAGTATTTACAGTAACTCAATGAGTTTTAAAATTGTCTCTCTTTGAAGCTCAGCCTTTTTATTTAGCCCCATTTTTAGTAAACTTGTAATAAGTTTCTTTTTCTTAATTTGTTTTTCTTTGTAATTATTCCTAATTTCAATACCCCATTCTGTTTTGTAAAATTGTCTCCGTTTCTCGTTAGCTTCTTCCCTCCGCCTTATTCCTTCGGCACCTCTATCACATCTACATGTGGATTTATCATGAAGTTCGTGTTCGGATGTGTAGTTTTCTAAGTCTTTTACACCTTCAGATGCTAATTCTGAAATTTCTGTGCGTACTAAACCACACTGTTTTCCTCGAGAATGTAACCAATCTTGTTTAAATACTCTTCTATCGTAATGAGAATGAGGTGTACCCCTAAGACCATCTCCATCCCTTCTAAGTGGCTTTTGTCCATCAGCACAGGTGATGTATCTGAGGACACCAACAGCATGGTCCAAGCAAATTATTTTCCTAAAAGTTGTTTTTGAATGGAGTCGTGTACCAGTGCGCTGTAGTTTTTTCTTGTAGGCCAACATTGTAAATCCATTAGTAAAATGTATTAAAGCGTGAAGATGTTCATGTGCTGTACTACCATCGTCTGCTATTAGATGACATCGACAAATTGAATACCATTTAATATTTGGAGCACAAGCAAGTAAATTAAAGTCCTTTTCATTTAATATTAAATGATACCATTCTTTGGACAATTCTTCGTAATCTTGTGCCATTTCCTGTGGCGACAAAGCGTTAATTTCATTTAGATTCAAGAGAGTCAAATAATCAGTTTTTGACAGTGAAGACATTTTTTTGTTATTTTTAGAGAAACTACTCGTAGAAAATGTCTCAATAGACTGGAAGAGTCTTTAATGTCTCAATACCTTAAACAAATAATTCATTACCCCCACCACCAAGATTTTTGCGCACGCGCAGTAGTACAAACGAACGTGATGTAAGCGTCGTTGTGACATGCGTTCACGTGAACGAAGGTTAGGTTAGGAGGTCATACGAGAAGTTCTCCATATTTCATCGTTTTCTTATTTTTCATCTTTTCTCGGTAAATTGCTTTAGAACTTCTCGTATGCCCTCCTAACCTAACCTTCGTTCACGTGAATATATTTTATTTTATTTTCATTGTCCAATGTTGACTTTACCCTCTTACAAATAACTTTCCCCCATTTAAATTATTAGCAATATTTGTCCACTCTTTACTTAAATGTCCAAACCTGCACTCTACTGTCCAGAGTAAACTACACGTTTTCCATTTAAAAAGCATTGGTGTCCAAGATCCTATGATTGATCGATTTTTCAATGAGGGGGTGGTTCGTGGGGATGAAAGGGGGCAGTTGACATTTTTGCATTATTTTTCCCTTACTCTGTACGTTAAGACCTTTCCAACGAGGTATCACACACTATGATTGATCGATTTTTCAATGAGGGGGTGGTTCGCGGGGATGAAAGGGGTCAGCTCGTTCTGCGCATGATTTTTCTCTTGTACGTTAATCTATACCACGTTCTCTACGTAATGCAGTTTTTTTCTCGTTTGAATCGGACCAACAGCCGTGAAGTTACACGCTAAGGCCCTTCTGGCTTTGCACATTATTTTTATCTTCAGCTTTAATCTATACCCCGTTCTCTTCATAATGCCGTTTTTCCCGTTTAAATCAGACCAACGATAGCTGAGATATATGCTAAGGCCCTTCTGGCTTTTCGTTCTACGCAAAAATTCTATTCGACGTTAAAAGATATTTAATCCCCCCACTCCTTACACTTCCCCGTTGGTGGCTCGACGAGTTAGTTGAGATGGTGTGACCTTGATTTAGACAAAAATTGCCAGAATGAACCTTAGCGAATTCCCATGTTAATTTACATAAGGAATGGCCCCGAATGAACATAGCCCCTTTACTAATAAAAAAAATATGAAATAGTAAAGCCTTTGGCATATACCGGGTGTCCAAATTGAAGTGTTACAGTTAAATACCGCCGGAAATATGCATTTTAGAAAAAAAAGTTTCAGACAAAAGTTTTATCATTTTTTGGGGGAAAACATTTTGGCTAAATTCATTTTTGTATAGCTGACCATAATATGGCCATATCGAAGTGGACTTTGTTTTTTTAAATGGGAATCCCATTTTTTATTTACATATTCTTAAAGTAGATAAAAAAATAAGAAACTTTTGATGGAAATATTTTTTTTATTGGACTTTTACTTTTTTAGTAACAGCTACTTGAAAATTTTGCTGGACAAAAAAAGTTTGCCATATTATGGTTAGCTATAAAAAACGATTTTAGCTATTAATTTTTCCCCACAAAACTATAAAACTTTCGTCTAAAAGGCGGTATTTACCTGTAACACTTTAATTTGAACACTCGGTATAATGAACAAATCGTTAGAGAGCGGAGTATTTCCAACACCATTTAAAATAGCTATAATTAAACCTTTATTGAAAAAAGGGGAGAAAGATAATATGACGATTTATACACCCATATCCCTTATGAAAAACTTTTGAAAATAAGAATCACCAATTTCCTGAATAAATATAACATCATTTCTAATGATCAATTTGGTTTTAGGGAGGGGAAATCTACGCAAGATGCTATAGCTAAACTCACAAAGAATATCTATGAATATGAATCAGAATATTGATCAGAAAAAAGCATCGCTCTGCATCTTCGTAGACCTCGCTAAAGCATTTGATACAGTTAGCCACTCAAAACTGATTAAAAACCTGGGAAATATAGGTTTTACAGGGAAAAGCTATTATTTATTATTCACATATTTAACAGATAGAAAGCAAGTCGTGAAAATTGAAGATACAGTTATAGTCGAAGCAATGAAGCACTAAAAAGGCCAAAGTTCCATAAAATTCTTTTTCAATTGGGTCTGGAAGAACCTCGGTGAAGACGTTCAGGGCCAAGTTAGGGCGCACCAAGTGTTCGGGGGGTCGTTTTCCACGTGAAATTCGGATTCAGCGCCCCAAAAAACCCCCGGAACGATTTTCAGTTCGTATTTTTCAATTGTGTCTGGAAACCCCTCGGGGATGACGTTCAGGGCCAAGTTCCGGTGCACCAGGTGTTCAGGGGGTCGTTTTCGACGTAAAATTTAGATTCAGCGCCCCAAAAAACTCCGCTCAATCATTTTCCACCCTTTATCTTTTTGACTTCAGACGATCTTATGAGCAGAGCGCGATATGGATATTAATTTTTCAATAGTTAAGATTTCAAATTCGTTGTGGATAGCCCTTCCTTGAAATATTTTACCAAATACGGATGATTATAATAGCAACTAAAAATTCTCGCAGTCTAATGAGTTGGGTTTGCTTTCAATATGATATAGAATGACTGTAATTTTCGCCTTAAATAATAAATGTTTTTTTTTTTGTTTTTAGATGCTGGTCCAGAGGACAGAGAAGAACTATTTGTACAGAAACTGCGACAGTGTTGCGTATTATTCGACTTCGCGACCGATCCTTTATCGGACTTGAAATGGAAAGAAATAAAGAGGACCGCCCTTCAGGAGATGGTGGAATATGTTACGACCCAAAAGGGAGTTATTACTGACGTTATCTATGCAGAGGCTGTAAATATGGTAAATATATATATAAAATCGAATTTTGTTCTTGGCACCGTGGCATTTTTGCTTTAGTAATAAAATACGATTTTTAATATTTTATTATTATTCGTATTATTGTAATTTTTCGTTTGATTTGGATTTTTCGTTTGGTTTGATTTGGATACCAAAAATCTCCATGTGAATTTTACTTTTTCGTCAAGAAAATTTTACCACATTAGAAATTATGGGCAATTTATTATTCTTGTACATCAAACACGTTTTCTACTATTTTTAAAGCCGAATTACTACTTGTTTTAATTGATATTTAAAACGTTTTAGTTGTTTTTTCTCTATTTTGTTTTTTTCCCACTATTTATGCTTTAATTGGGTTTTTATTTACTATTCTTTAACGACTAATCTTTCGCTCCTGTCCATATTATAATTATCAAACGTTGTTACTTTTTTTTTTAACGTTATATTTTTAATAATCTTTCGTTTTTCTTCTTCAGTTTGCCGAAAACCTTTTTCGTACCCTACCCCCATCAACGAACCCAAACGGAGCCGAATTCGATCCCGAAGAAGACGAGCCGACCCTGGAGGCGGCTTGGCCTCATTTGCAGGTGGTTTACGAATTGTTCCTGAGGGTTTTGGAGGCGCCCGATTTTCAACCTAACATAGCCAAAAGGTAAGTCAAAAAAAAACATTAAAATGATTTACGTGACAATTCAAACACTAATCAATATGGTTATTAAAGTTACAAAATCAATTAATTACATATCTATAGGATTGTCAAATATATTTAAGCTAAACTGTGAGGTAACGTCTTCTTTGAAATATATTGCACCCTTTCTCTGTTTGACTTCAAACGATCTTATGAGCGGAGCGCGATAAGGATATTAATTTTTCAACTGTTAAGATTTCAAATTGAAATGTTTTACCAAACTAAAACTAAACATTCTCGCGGTTGTTATTCAACGTTACTTTTTAATATTTTCAGATACATAGATCAGAAGTTCGTTTTACAACTTCTGGATCTGTTCGATTCAGAAGATCCGCGAGAGAGGGACTTATTGAAGACTACTTTACACAGGATATACGGAAAATTCCTGGGACTTAGAGCTTTTATTAGAAAACAAATAAGTAATGTATTTTACAGGTAAGATCGTCTACGTATTTTTACTTTTGTTTGTTTTATAACGGTGTACCGCAATGCTGTTTTCTACCTTCTTTTCGGTTTAAAAAAAATCATAATAGAAAAGGTAAAAATAAGTTTTTTTTTTAAGAAAGTAACTAATTTTTTAGAAATTTTCAATAGTAATTCTTTGCAATTCTTACCCAGGAATATTTTTTTAGAAAAGTTCGACCTCTACTCTTTAAATTTTCTCCATAAAGGCCATCATAAAATTCAAACGTCCTAAAAAGATTTTGTATGACTTACACAATCAAAGGCATTTGAAAGATCTAAGAGTGTAGCTGATGGAGTTATTTGTTTATCTTCAGCTTCAATAACTTTTTCTATAACTGATATTATTTTAGTTATACTTTTTTTCCTTAAATTCCCGGACTGATTTTTACATTTTTTTCCTTTTTGTATTTTCAACAGATTTATTTACGAAACGGAGCACCACAATGGTATTGCGGAACTTTTAGAAATTTTGGGATCCATAATCAACGGGTTTGCGTTGCCCTTGAAAGATGAACATAAGGTAAGTTTTTCTTTTAAAACCCTTTTAATTTACTTTTTAATTAACATTTTTTCAATTGTTATTGTTCATTATAAACGAACATCCGGTTCATTAAAATTTATAAGCCTGGTAAAATTAAATATTTTTTAAATTGGCGGTACACATTTTTTGTGGTACGTATAATGAACGTTTCTAAAACCTGCTGTTATTATGATATAAGTATCAAACTTTTTTTAAATTGGTGGTTCATATTTGTACCAGCATTTTTTGTTGTACACTAATCTTGAAAAAAATTAAACATTCATAAATTATTATAATTATTTAAGTAATACAGAAACATGTCCAACAACATAATAAAAACTAGTCCTATTTTTTAGCGATTTTATAATTCAACTGTTTACTATTAATTCTTGTCTGTATTATAATTGTTTACTAGTATTTTTTAAGCAAAATTACGTGATTTTGTCGAGATATTCGTCTTACTCAAAAATCATAAGTTCTAAACTCTATATGTACCACATTTTAACAATTTTTTCAATCAAATACGAGAAAATCATCCAAAATAGCAACAAAATATATGGTACATATACGTACCAGAACTCGTTAAATGATATAAATAGTTTCAGTTAAATACAACGGGAATATAGTCCCTAGTAACATATGGTACATATATGTACCAGTGTATCAGTTAAATGCAACGGAAACATCAATAGTAACATATGGCACACATTTGTACCAGAAATTTTTTTTAGATAGCCGCTTTACTAAAAAATCATAAGCTCTAGACTATCTGGTACAAATACGTAAATATTTTAACAGTTCCAGTCAAATACAACCGGAAGATAATCTATAATAACATATGGTACATATACATATGTATCAGCACCCGTTAAACTTTAAATAGTTGTATCAAATACAAGGGAAAGAAGATATATGGTACATATACGTACCAGAACTTTTCGTCGAGATAACTGCATTACTCATAGTTCATAAGCTCTAGACTATCTGGTACAAACACGTACCGCATTTTTAACCGTTGTTTCATTCAAATACATCGGGAAGATGATCCAAAATAACTAAATATGGTACATATATGTACCAGCACCTGTTAAAATTTTTAAAATAGCTTTCAGTCAAATAAAACGAGGTGATCCAAAGTAACATATGGTACACATATGTAGCAGCTTCCGTTAAATGGTTTAAATAGTTGTTTCACTTAAATAAAAAAAGATGATCCATAACACATGGTACATATATGTACCAGCAATGTACCAGCACCCCTTAAATTGTTTAAATAGTTATTTCAATCAAATGAAACGGAAAAATGATCCATAGTAACATGGTACATATATGTACCAGCACCTATCAAATGGTGTAAATACTTGCGTCAGTCAAATACATCGGAAAAATGACCTATAATAACGAAAAATGGTACATATATGAACCAACATCCGTTAAATGGTTTAAATAGTTGTTAACGGGATAATGATCCATAGTAACATAGGTGTACTGACACCTATCAAATGGTTTAAATAGTTGTTTCAGTTAAATACAACGTGAAGATAATCCTAATAACACGTGATTCATATATGTACCAGCACCCCTTAAACTGTTTAAATAGTTGTTTTAGTCAAATGAAACAGAAAGATGATCCTTAGGAACATGTGGTACATAAATGTACCAGTACCTATCAAATGGTGTATATAGTTGCGTCAGTCAAATACAACGGGAAAATGACATAATAAAATATGGTACATATATGAACCAACATCCGTTAAATGGTTTAAATAGTTGTTAACGGGATAATGGTCCATAGAAACATGAAACATACGTGTTCCAACACCTATAAAATCGTTTAAATAGTTGTTTCATTTAAATACAACGGGAAGATGATACATAATACATGGTACATATATGTACCAGCAACCCTTAAATTGTTTAAATAGTTGTTTTAGTCAAATGAAACGGAAAAATGATCCATAGTTACATATGGTACATAAATGTACCAGCACTTATCAAATAGTGTAAATAGTTGCGTCAGTCAAATACAACGGAAAAATGACCTATAACAAAATATGGTACATATATGAACCAACATCCGTTAAATGGTTTTAATAGTTGTTAACGGGATGATGATCAATAATAACAACATATGTACATATATGTACCAGCACGCGTTAAATAGTTGTTTCAGCCGAATGCATTAAATGGTTATTTCTGTTAAATAAAACGAGATGATCCATAATAGCAACTAATGGTACATTTATGTACCAGTATCCATTAAATGATATAAATAGTTGTTTCAGTCAAATACAACGCGAAGATGATCCATAATAACAACATATGGTACATATACGTACCAGCACTTGTTAAATATTTTAAATATTTGGTTCAGTAAAATAAAACGCCAAGATACCTATAGTAACATATTTCACCGGTGCCGTTCTAATACCTCGTAATCCCAAAATTTACATTTTACAGGAGATGTAAAAAATAACAACGTGCTGCTTAATACAAAGTTTTAAACATTTTTGTGAGCTACGATGTTTTCTGTAACGATGCGCATTGATGACAAAATTTAGTGTTTGAAAAAGTGAGGGCGAATATGGTACATATATGTACCAGCACCTGTTAAATGGTTTAAATAGTTGGATCAGTCAAATACAACGGAAATACGTTCCATAGTAACATATGGTACATATATGTACCATCACCTGTTAAGGATTAATATTAATTACTAAAGATGTCAGTAAAATGTTAGTTAAACTACATCTTTATGAATAGGTTAGTTTTTCCCATGCATTGATCATAACCAAATAGGTTTATGATTAAAAAGACGAAACATTTTCAGCTATTCCTACTTAGAGCGTTGATGCCGCTACACAAGGTCAAAAGCCTATCCGTGTACCACGCGCAGCTGGCCTACTGCGTGGTACAATTTCTCGAAAAAGACGCCTCGCTAACCCAACCGGTAATCAAGAGTCTGTTGAAGTACTGGCCGAAGACGCATAGTCCCAAAGAAGTCATGTTCCTCAACGAACTGGAAGAGATATTGGACGTCATAGAACCGGCCGAGTTCCAGAAGGTTATGATCCCGCTGTTCGGGCAGCTAGCCAAGTGCGTCAGTTCGCCACATTTTCAGGTAAGGTTGAATTTTGAGTGTTGAATATTGAATTTTTGAGTGGTGAATGTTGGATGTTAAATTTTGAGTGTTGAATCTTGAATGTTGAATTTTGAATGGTTAATGTTGAATTTTGAATGGTTAATGTTGAATTTTGAATGTTGAAATGTTAAATTTTGAATGTTGAAATGTTGAAATGTTGAAATGTTGAAATGTTAAATGTTGAATGTTGAAATGTTGATTGTTGAATGGTGAATGTTAAATGTTGAATTTTAAGTGTCGAATGTTGAATTTTGATTGTTAAAATTTGAATGTTTAATTTTGAATGTTGAACATTAAGTGTTAAATTTTGAATGTTGAATTTTAGATGTTTGAGATTTGAATATTGAATCTTAGATGTTGAATCTTAAATGTTGAGTGTTGAATTTTGAATGTTGAAATTTTGATTGTTGAATGGTGAATGTTGTATGTTAAATGTTGAATTTTGAGTGTCAAATGTTAAATTTTGAATGTTGAATGTTAAATGTTAAATTTTGAAGGTTGAATGTTGAGTATTGAATTTTGAATGTTTAATTAGGGATGTTGATTCTCGAATGTTGAGTGGCGAATTTTGAATGTTGAATTTTGATTGAATTTTGTATGTAAAATGTTGAACGTTAAATTTTAAATGTTTAATTTTAGATGTTGAATCTTGAGTGTTAAATTTTGAATGTTGAAATTTTGATTGTTGATTGTTGAATGTTGAATTTTGAATGTTAAAATTTGAATGTAGAACATTAAATGTTGAATTTTGAGGGTTGAATTTTGAATGTTGAGCGTTAAATTTTGAATGTTGAAATGATTGTTGAATGGTGAATGTTGAATTTTGAATGTTAAAATTTGAATGTTGAATTTTGAACATTAAATGTTAAATGTTGAATTTTAGATCTTGAATTTTGAGGGTTGAATTTTGAATGTTGAACTGATTGTTGAGTGTTGAATTTTAGAGGTTGAATCTTGAATGTTGAGTGTTGAATTTTGAATATTGAATTTTAGATGTTAACTTTTGAATTTTGAAATTTTGATTGTTGTATGTAAAATGTTGAATGTGGAATTTTGCATGTTGAATTTTGAATATTGAATTTTAGATGTTGAATTTTAGATGTTCAATTTTGAATGTTAAATTTTGAACTACGTCAAAGTTAAGCCTGTTTGAACGATGACGAATGTTTCCAATCAAACGGATTATTTATTTTTTCTCTTGTAGGTGGCTGAAAGGGCTCTATACTATTGGAACAACGAGTACGTGATGTCGCTGGTATCAGACAACGTTGGTCACATTTTGCCCATTATGTTTCATAGTTTGTACAGAAATTCGAAAACTCATTGGAACAAGACCATTCACGGTCTTATTTACAACGCTCTTAAATTGTTTATGGAAATGGACCAAAAATTATTCGACGACTGTACGCAGCAGTATCGTCAGGAGCGGCAAAAGTAAGTAATTCTACTTGTTATACAGTGTGTCCCATAAGTTTTATAAAAAAAAAATGATAAAAAGTTTTGCATCATATGGAAATCTATAATCAAGCACTAAATTTTGTAAAATGTAGGTAGAATAATAAAAATAATTAATTTAAAAGTTTCAGTTTATAAAATTGGTCCTAAAATAAATATGAGACTAATAAAATAAATAATTTAAAAGTTAAAGTTTTTGAAATTGGCCTTAAAATGAATAATTGAATAGATTCTGTTTATGAAATTGGTCCTGAAATAAATATGAAAATAATAAAAATAAATAATTAAAATATTTAAGTTAAAGAAATTGGTCCTAAAATATTTTTTACTTAGGGATTTAAAAAATAGATTTCAATATTCTAGTAGTTATTTTTAAAAATATATTTGATGATTTCCAAGGAAATTATCTATCTTTATTTTTGAATCGTTAACTGATAGTTTTTCGGAATTTTAATTTTCTTTCTATTATAAAATTTATTTAGTATCACAAACTAATGTCGGCAGTTTTACGAAAACTCACATAGTGTGTTAAAAAAAAACAATGAAACCCCTATTTGTACTGTAAATAATTTTTATGTTATCTTACATTCCCCATTGTTTTTCCAAAAGCAGCGTTTTTTTTATTAATTCAAAATTTATTTATTTTTAGGGAGAAGGAGAGGGAGCATCAGCGGCAAGAGTTGTGGAACAAAGTAGAAATTTTAGCATCGAGTCGTCCCGAATACGACGGTCCCAGAAATTTCAACATGATGAATAACATGATTACGAGTCCGGAGAACGATGAAGAATTTAATTTAGACAATTTAAAAATCGACGATCCTGAAGTAAGTCTGTGCGATATGAATTATTATTGTTATTAGGATATTCCGGTTCAATCGAATAAGAATCAATTTCGGAGTATATAGATATACAGGGAGTCTGAAATGGTGGCCATATATTTGTAGGCTGTGCAATTATGTAAAAGGCTTGATAAATTTTAATTAGTAGCTGACATCAAAGATAAAAAGTCTTATATAACATTGAAATAAAAAATCTCAATAATTTTACAAAATTTCGAGACAAAAACGATTGTAAACAATATATAATTGGAAGGAAAATGAAAATAATGGATGTGGAAAAATAGACTAATGTTGAATCTATTAAGTAATGACATTTCGCTGGATTTTTTTCTGTAAATTATTTACTTTAATTTTTATTAAAAATCGTGCTGTTAGAAATTGTTTCGGTTTATATGTATTATAGATTTTACGTTTTTTTTTTTAAATTGTTTTTCTTATTTTGTTCTTTAGTGTAATTGGTGTAGGTATTAAGTGAATAATAACATTGATTTTGTTTCTATTCAACACCTAAGTGGAAATTTTCTTGGTAAGTTTTAAACACTTAAGTATTATTCCTTATTACCATCCCTAATAATTATTACTATTATTATAAATGAATGTCAAAATACTCATGTCAAATTCTATTCTTGAAAAGTACCTGTTTTATTTGACAAAAATTTGCTAAGTACGTCGCGGGCATACAGTTTGCCACGTTGCCAGCTTTATTGAAAAATCCTAGATCGTTTTTAACTCCGTTAAAAATTGGACACCTGTTATAAGAGTCTGGTCGCATTGAGTTTGGTCCAGTATATAAAATGTTGTTTAGCAGTAGATACAGTGGCGCAGCCAGAATTTTGTATTAGAGGGGGGTTTAAAAAAAAATTAGGAGTATTTAAAATATATAATATTTTTAATCTAGATTAACTTTTTCAATTTCAAATTCACCGGGTTTGCGTCAAGGTTTGGGAAGGAGGGGTTTCAACCCCTAAAACCTCCCCCTCGCTGCGCTACTGAATAGATAGATATACATTTTAAAACTTAATATCTCTCTTCCAGTAAATAAAATAAAAAATAGGAAAATACATCAATTTTATTTTCATATGGGGCACTTTCAATTAATATTTTTAACACTCTTGGTTCAACCACCTAGAATGGGTAGATGTTAACCCACACAATTCTAAATGGGAAGGGGGTAATGTGGCACATCATTTTAAAGGTAATTTTATGGAAACTATTGCGTTAGTTTTTATTTTACTGTCCTCTAACGGCATAAAAAGTCCTAAATTATAATACTTCAATACACAGTTATAGAAAAAAATCAAAGTATATTTAGTGATTAAATAAAAAAATAGCTTCATGTTTTATCTTACTTTTAGGAATAATTAAAAATTATAAATTTTAGGAAAATTTATTCTTCATAAAAAGTTTTGCATTGTCTAAAAACTAAAATGCAACTATCATATATATCAGTTTTTTCAGTCATATACGAGATTTGTCAAAAATAAAGGTGTTTACTTTTGAGTTATGTTTTGGAAATGAAAAATAATCGATAAGATTGACATCTTCGACCTTAGACGTATACTCGTCTTGTCGAAGGGAGGATGTCGGTTCTAGCAAAACAATAGTTATTTTTGTACCAAGGTTGTAAAATTGATCTTTTTTGACCGAATTAGAAATTCGCGGCCGAGGCGTAGCCGAGGCCAAGCAACTTTTGGTTAGGCCAAAAAATATCATATGGCCGAGGTGATATAACATTTTTTTGGGCAACTTTCATAAGAAATTACATTTTACGGATTTATTAACATCCCTAAAGTGTCACTTTTTTGCCGTATTTACTTTACGGCCGCTTTTTATAAATAGACGTTTATTATATTTATCGTTAGTAATTCTGTATAAAATTTATTAGTTAAAAATGGATTTGTATTCGATCAATAAAAATTTAAAACAATTCTTGCATTTAAGCCTCATTTCAAAAACAAGAAAGTAAAAAAAATATTGCCTAATAGTTATTTTTGTACCAAGGCTATAAAGTTTATATTTTTTGGCCGAATCAGAAACTGGATGAATGGAAAAATCGAATAATCGAAAAAAGTCGATTATTAAAAAATATCGATTAATCGAAAAGAATCGATTAATCATAAAAAATCGCATAATTGAAAAGAATCGATTAATTGAAAATATTAGTTTGACCGAAACGAATCGATTAATCTAATATAATTGATTAATCGAAAATAATCGATTAGTCGAAAAGAATAGATAATCGAAAATAATCGATTAATCGAAAATAATGATTTTTTTATAATCGCCCGACCCTAACATTTTTAGAAATCATTTTTAGCAATTATTTAAATAGAAAGTTTAATTCGAGTAATTGAATTTTTTTTATTAATTTATAGAAATTATTAAAATCTACCAAAAAAAAAAAAGTTACTAAAAAAGCTAAAAATCTACCAAAAAGCAGAAATCTAGTAAATGCGGCAACGTTGGTTTAAAGACTCCCAGTTAGAATGATCTTGACCAAGCCCAACGACTAATCGATGAATTAAGCGAAGTTAACTGTCGTGACGTAATCTACGTGCGATGCACAAAATGATGCTGAAAATAGCGTAGTTTCAAGCAGACATACTGTTTGTTTCACGGATCTGTTGATCTCTCTTTTTAACTACAGCATTCGCGGAAACCTCTCGCGTTCAATCAACGTATTGCACAGACGGACGTGATCAGCCAAAAAAGTAGAGATTAACATGTACGAAAATAAATATATTAAAATTGTTAAAGTTATTTATGTGATTTATGAAATTTAACTGTGTGTTCACTGCACAAATGAACCAATGGAGAAACCGCCCCTGCTTTGTACGCTGATGCTTTTTCCGAGGTTGCCACGTATTGCGGGGTTTCTTAGCTTTTGATATTTGATTCTTTGTTCTTCTCAAGAGCCCACTGCTTGGACGAGGGCCTACCGATAGACTGACGGCCCAATCCGACACTAGACCCATGTATTCTCTTCAAAACCTTTTAACTTTAAACTGAATAGTAATATAAAACCTTGTCATTTTTTGTACAAACTAAATGAAAACCTTAACTTCAAACGGGTCTTAGCCAACATATTCAAAAATGATATGTTTAAATAAAAAGGTTCTATATACCAACCCTAACGATATCCAAATGGTTCTAAGTGCCATCACAAAGCAACTAATTTATTGGAGTGGGATAAACATTCTGAATGGTATGTGCGTGTATCCCAGGCATTACACTTTTGTATAAATTACGTCTTTTTTTAGCTATTACCATATGTATGAATACGGTTGATGTACTACCTACCCAATATATTCGTGAAAAATGTCCACTTTATAAACATATATTATTTTTCACATGTAAACGTCGATTACTACTAATTTATTCACCTATAATTAACCGTGTTTACTGTACGTATATATTTGATTTATAGTTGTAGTATATTTATACGAATACACTTTGGTATAAAAGACGTTGTTTATGTACTACGTTATACGTATAAATACCGTTGATATGCTACCCAAAGTACACGTGAAAATATCCGCGGTAGAAACGTACATTCATCGTGTTTCTAGTTTGGCCGGAAATCACGTAATGTATAGACAAATATTTTATTTCAAAAAATAAACAAAATTCTAAATGAGAAACTTAATAGGATCTTTCTTTAACAAACAATATATATCAAAATAAAAATATTAAGTTAGCACTTTGATGTGTTTTTCCAGACGTGCCATAGCAATGTTTAAGCCAATCTTATATGTCACATTTAATGGTTCGGTCTGTCAAATCGCTTGGTAGGTACACTCGTTCCAATAGAAATGTCTTATGGCTTCTACAATAGAACCGTTTTTTATTATAAACGTCATAACACTGTTAAAAGAAACTTACCAAAAATAACCACCGTAACGATACAATTTTTTAATTGTTGCTTATCACGGCCTGCCCGGTTAAATTTAATGGCAACTGGGTTCCTCAGAAAGTATTTCATAATATCCATAGTAGGTACAATTATTCCTAACGATACTCTGCCGATGCAGGCTACGCGTATTTTCTGCAAAAAGGAATGATTATAACCACAGCCAGGGCTATTTTCGACATTCTATGAAATAAAATCTACTGACGAATAAAATATGGAAAATGAATGTGATTGGAATAAATAGATGGCCAAAAAAAACCCTTATAAAAATAAGAGAAACAAAAGTTAGAAAGTAAGGCTATGTTTTAGAATTTTTGTAAGCATCTTACACACTGTACCTACCTATAAAACAGCAGTTGTAAAATTCAGGAATTATTGGAGGACTAGCTAAAATAAAACATTAATATAAGCTTACCTATGCTTTTAATCAATACCTTTGAATACGAGTACACAAATGAGTATGGTAGAATGACCTACACAACAATGTCACAGCAGACTACACTACCCGATATGCGTAAACGCAAGAGTAGAAATGAGAAGAGATCGTAGCCTGAGTATGCCATGTTTAATTCGCCTTATCAAATAGTTTCGTGTGTATAGGGAATTTGTTATGTTACAGGTAATATAATAAAAAGATATGGATATAATATAAACAAAAATACCAATAAGCTTTTAATATAAATATTTACTTATGTCTACTAGTTTGTCACCAACAGGAAATATACGTGTAAGGTAAATTATATTTAAATGTATAATATACAATAACTGTAATAATAATATAATAATAATACTCTCCCTAATTCACCCCCTTACGAGTGAATTTTAACCCCAAAAGCTGAGCTTGTCCGGGGAAAGGGACGGCTATTATTATTATTTGCCGTGGCGCTCCGGGGCGACTTAAAGATGATTGATGGTGCCATTTGACTTACAGGTGAGGAAAACCCGGAAAACCTCACCCACCATCATCGAGACGGTAATGTAATGAATTGAATTTCTATTAATACGCCACACATCAAATCCTAAACCGAACCATGCAATTTAATTAAAAATCCACATGGTCTGGTCTGGGATTCGA